TTCTTGGCTGCTTGCGCCAGCGATACGGCGCTGTGGGGACGGTTCATGACGGAGAGGGGAATTGTGATGAGTTGATCAGTGCTCACCCTATGAAGAGCTTCGACATGGCTAGTATGTTACTGCCTATTCCTCGTCTCAGTCCTATATGACAAAGTCAGACGACGGGATCAAGGAATGAGAATGGCGGTGGTATGACTGTTCTGCAACAGACGCAAACGCACAGCCGCGGGTGTAGGGATTGATATTGGGAGAAACTTGGGGGCGATGCGAAGCCAAAGGTAGGGGAGGAAGGGTACGTGTTTTCTCTAGGTAGGGTGCGTTGTCCGCCCGTTTGCAAGATGGAAGAACATGCGACAACTACTAGTCGGAGATATGGACCCCTACAGACCATATTCACACAATGTGCTCCGTACCAGCGCCTGAGCTCTGAACCAAAGTTGGCTGCCTCCCCCGCCTGCCAGCTGCCATGGCTAATAGGAGGCGTTTGTCATTGCGTGGACAGGGTCTAGCATCCGGAATACTGCGCTAAGTGTCGCGGGGAGTGGCAGCGAAGTTTGAACCTACCTCAGCGTACCTCGAGCTTGAGGGCGAAATGGGGTAGGATTTCGAATGGAAGATGAGCTTATGGATGTGGCAGCGAAGTTGCCTGGCCGATCCGTGTATAACAAGAAAGCCAAGCCAAGCGCCGTTCAGTGTGTTGCTTCGCTCCTGGGACATGGAGTCTATTCTGCAGCGAACGGTGGATGAAGTGCCCCAGGTCCACTTCTTTGGTGGACAGCACAGCACAATGCCGGATTGCAATAACTTGCAGAGCAGAGGGCAATGTGTTCAGAGGTTTGATGCTGGGTTCTGCTGATCTCACCAGTCTTGGGGATCGCCGCCGAATGAAGCGGGACAATCTATTGCGCCAACGCCAGCCTCAAGGGTTTTTGACTGGATGGAAGTTCCCACAACGGGGCGAGTTAAGGAACGAGCCCTTTTTGCAACGTCAACTTCCGCCGGGCTTTCTAGAACAAGACAGCTGGTTGCTTTCCAGGGCAAATTATGGACGCTGAAACCTCTAGCCTGTGCCGAAGGGTTGGACTAGCTCGACACGCCGTATTGCCGACTCGGAACTTACTACTTTATCTGTTGCTGGCTTGACTTGCACCGATGGGGAGCAAGGTTCGGGCCAACGTGGGGTCCAAGGCGACTCGAGCTCTCAAGCTTGGCTCTTCGAGTTGAGCACACACACACACGTGGGCGGCGGCGGATGGTGCGGTTCGGCCTGTTCGTGAAACAGCGGCAGCAAGGTGGGATGGCTTGTCTAATAAACGGCTGCTATTCGTACGTCAAGGCGAGGGCAATCAGAGCCAGCCAGTCAAAGACAAAATCAGCGTTGGCCAGTATAGACTTCGTTTGTGGACGAGAACATGGGCTGGGCGGAATGACGCGAACAACCGACATTGATTCTCGGAAGAGCTGGACGCATCAATATATATGTACAGTAAGCAAACAGCCAGAACCACTAGAATGAAGTTTTGACACGTTTTATAAAACGTGGTCGCAGCACAACTGCCTCTGGACAGGTGGAGGAAGCCCCCTGCTCAGGTCGGGGCAAAGCAATAATGGGTGCTTCGCCTGCATCAGCAGGTTGAATAATGCCATCAGCAACCAACCAGAATCGAGACACGAGGGCCCGTTCTGGGCGACAAGGGTTGGTGATACTCTTGTCCAGGCAGGAGTTATTAGTCCACACACATCCTTTGGACAAATATAGAGTGCTGGAATGAGTGCCATCCCGTTGCCGACCAAGATCTGGAGAGACCACCAGCCCGGCTGGCAAGTCTGAAGAGGCAGGTTTCGGCGGAATAATTTACGCCAGACTTCAGCTTCCTGGCATTTGATGTCACTTTTAGGAATCGCCACGGTGATTCTTGCACAGGGGCACATGGTTGTGGATTTGTCAATGAATGGGAGTAGGACGATCCTTCGCCTTAAACCCCGGAGGAACCAAGATATCCAGGGATGGGAGGCTGGGCCAGTATACGTACATAATATTGCCTAATACATACTCGGTAGTTTCCTTGGGCCTGCAAGGGAGGGAGACGTATCAAAGTCCAACTGTCTCTGAGCAGCGAGAGCAGTGAGTCACGCCCAGCAAGCATCCTGCGGTCGACGCGTGTCAATTCCCACATGGAGCAAGCCACGACCAAAAAGCTCAATTGACCAGCCCCCGGGAGACGCCCCAGTCTCACCGGAAGTTAGGGGAGAAGTGCGTTATTACTCCGTACTGTGTTTGGATTGCCACATACGTGGAATGCGCTTCCTGAGCCGTCTTGTCGTGGTGATCTTGACGGCTACGTATTGCCTTGGGCACATGTGGCCTTGGGACGGCAGCAGACCAGTTGACCTACCTAATTGTCACTCTATTCATGTCCCCGAGGCGGAAAGCCCACCTTCACGGGCCCACCTAGGGAGTACCCCGTGGCCTGGCCTGATTTATTCATTGCATGTATGAAAGCTTATCTCAGACGACGCATACACGAGAAGACTCCCCATAAACCTCTGAATTCAAAGGGAGAAACAAAGGATGAGAAATTCACCACTCTGCCACCATTGTTTTCAAGCATGGTATCAAAACACATCACTGCATGCATGGAGTGCGACCGTGGGTATCAATGGTCGGTCATGTGCTCACCGTCTCATGCACAATCTAATCTGCAGTATTCCAAAAATACTCTGCTACGACAGCCTGAGGCGTGGTCCAGCAAGAAGAAGCAAGGGTCCGAGCTCCATGCCTTGTGTTACACGATCAGTCTACCAATACCGGTTGTGGGACTTTGATTTGCATTAGTGTGGTCTGGGTCCTGGGATGCCCTATGGAGTACCGAGTACTTACATGGAGTGAGCGTCTTGGCCAAGCTCGAGACAAACAGCTTTGTTCGAAGCGAGCATCGGAGTCGTGCTGACAACCGACTTGATTCATTCAACGTTTTGACTTCAGGGCCCTGATGC